AGAAGACGGAGACGATAGTGTCGTCTGCGAGGGCGATTGGGAGTAGGTGCGAGCGTGAAGGAGTAGTCGTGCGCGGGGGCGTTGCTCTTGATGACGGCAAAGAGCCGAGAGAAGATGGAGGCCTGCCCTTGCTCGGCTGGGGGCGCGATTGGGCGGGGAGTCACAACAAAGTGCGTCACGGCGGACTGTACGGTCGGTTGTGAGATCCGGCGCGCTATCCGTGGGGGCGAGAGCGAGACGGAGTCGAGCTTGGCATGGACCGACTTGGGCGACGGGGGGTTGACTACGACGACGGGGCCTGTTGGGGGTGTAGGTGGGTATGAGTGTGGTTCCCGTTCGCGTTCACGAGGAGCGGTGCCGTCCGTGAGTGTCACGTCAGAGTCGGTGGAGTGTTGCGTGAGTATGGGCGGGCGGGGAGATGGGAGGTTCGTCCGACACGCGAAAGACAGTGCGGCTTCCGTAAAATAAGGAGAGGTTTGTGGAAGGGGGAGGAGGGGTATGGACGCTCCGGGGGGAAAGGAGGGCGTCCGGAGACGAATGTACCAGCCGCGCTTCGGACGGTGGACTGTCCAAGCGATCGTCGACGTAGCATTGTCCTGGACAATGCACAGTGCCCATTGAGACATAACGACGTGTCTTGCAAAGATTACACATACCACAATGTGTTCGAGGATTTCATCATCTGTCAGGAACCTTTCCTTCACACATGTGAGTTTAGCTACGCCATCCTTCTGGCTGACCCAGGCGCTGCCGGGAAACGCTTGGTACTCGCCTTATACCAGATCACCTTGTCCGACCCCTCAACAAAAACATTGATGCGCATGTCCTCCAATACATCCGAACTGTGGTGTAGGCCGCATACGACAGGTGGTGACGCGAGGTGTTTAGTCGTTCCGTGGCAAGGGGGGTATGAGACTTACCTCCGGACGATGTACCGCGTCCCTCGACCGCTGGTTCCTTCATTTCTTTGCATTCCTCAGAACTGTGCGTTCGTAGGGGTAGTTGTCCAGCACAATGGTCATGCAGGTGGTGCAAAATCCGAGAAGCAGACGACGCCGGCGCCGACAACGGTGGCGACCGCAGAACCCGAACACCACAGCGTCTATGGCCCCTGACTGCCGCGTGGCATTAGACGCGCGGTAGCTTGAATGGGCGCTCAGATCGTGCAGCATCCTTTGCACCGACCACGATGTCGGCACTCTACGCTAGATAGACCTCTGGGAGGAGTTGCAGCCGCCGCCATCCGTGACACGGCTCTAGCTCACCTGTGCAGTTTTTTTGAATCATCCTTCGACCGCGGCCGATTGCTTCACATTGAAAGTACGGGAGCACAGCTGACCGGGTCATTCACTCCGCCTCCTACAATAACAATAGTTGTGTCTAGTTTAACAAGGTTTCATCGACGCCCGAGCAGGACCAGAGCAAGCTTGGACGTATCTGAAGGTGCGCCGACATCACTGAACGAAGGCTAGCTGCGCAACTCACGCACGTCATGGCGCATATAGTAAGGCGAGCAAACAATTCAAGATTGCGCAGTCGACTGTCTGACTATATACACCGTCCATGTCTCAATCAGGCTCTCTGGGTCCCGATGGCGGGCGCATATCGTGCGCAGGTTCAATGTACCTAGGTCCCTACCCTTTCTTCCGGGAGGGCGTGCGGAGCGCCGCGAAGCGCAGCCTGTCCTCAAGGACGACCTCCCCTCTCAAATATGGAAGAGACGCCGCGTCTCACGTCCATAGACACTCGGGTGTTCACAACCTCCGGTTCGATGCTCAAGTCCACAATGATATAAACGTTGTTCATCCAATCACCTTGGGCCTGGGGCTTCTATCGCCGCAGATTTGGAGAAAAGATATCTTGCTGATTCTGTTTGTGGTATTCTTCCAGGTACGCCGCTACGAATCAACTCCTTCTCCGGATCAATCTCCCTCTCTATCGAGGTCATATCTCACGAGCCACTCCTAGCCGCCTGAGTGAGAATGGAGACACGATGAGACGAGGTTTGGGCTGCGCAACATTGAGTCAAATGACGTCGACGTCCAAGGTACGTTGTCCCCGTGAACGCTCTTTCTCAGTAATCGTGAGCCGCAGCAATGACGTGGGTTCCTCTCAAGCCCATGGCCCGGCGAAGAGCTTGGGTGTGACCATACAATCTATCCAAGCCAGAGCTGCGGTGCTGGTACGTGGAGACGGCCCCAATTGCGCGAAAAAGCTGCCTATCGTACCTCGTTCATCGCATTCATCGTAGCTGCGATTATTGAACGCAATTTGTGAGGTGGCTTTCCGCTTCCGTTTCACGGCTATCATAGGCCGTAGACCGTTCAGCGCAGCGGAGCAGCCACAGCTGCGCTGTCGAGGATACTGCGGGAATGCGAGTCTCGCTGCGAACCAGCTGACCCGTATAGAATAGGAACCAGTGGCACCCACTCGTGCATGGGTTGGTCGAGAACGCTCTCATCTCATATCAGAACGTCTAGACCAGGAATCATGCTCGCTCGCCATACACAGCAAGGCTGCGGACTATCCTGTCCGCGCACCCAAAGGAAAAATGTCATCATCCACGGGAGCCGTTCCGATTGTATAATGCCCGGTAATGACTCGGATGTCACATGGAGGAGTATTGAGGGAAGGGCACGTTGGTGCTATCCAAACGATTTTTTTCCGTCTCCCGGGTAACCTTGTTGGCGACTTCGTGGGGCGGTGACTAAAGCAAACACGACGCGCGCTGAACCCAAACCCTCAAGACGTCGTTCTGTACCCCGTTGGTTGAGTATCGTTGTCGGCCCCTAGCTATTCTTGTCCGCCACATATTGGTCGAGACAAGTGTCGGCCGTCTCAAGTCCGCGGGTCCCGCTGCGTCTATATGCACCGAAATGACTGCATGGCGTCTTCGACCGACATATTGCGCGTCGATCGCTCAGTTCAGATTGATCTTGATGGGTGAGCGTGCAGACTTCTCATGGGCAGTCCGCGGACTTGTTACTGTACTCTCGTTCGGGATTGAAGCACCGATACCCACACAGTCTGCTTCCGCCCTCCGCTACTACATGCGCCTGTGATGAATCCTCGCTATTGCAAATGGGACCCATCTATTGAGCTGCTTTTGACCTCTATGCGCGCCTAGCGAATCTGCTGGCTGGGACGATGGGACGTTGCACGGATGTTACGCGCATGTAGCCTCTGCGGCCATCCCGTCGCTCCTCTGTGTCGCTCACGACGCACGTAAGTCATAATGTAAGCTTGCGAGCCGCTATCACAACTGTGCCCTGATAGTGGTCAACGTGCATTCCGCTACTCCCGGTACGGGCGCTAATAAAGGCTGCCGCGATGAGCGACGGGCGTTGACGGAGATGCTGTTAGCGAAAGCGGTGTCGCATCGCCGCCTACTTAGGCGTTTCGCACTGTCTCGTTGCTGCCCTCACCATCTCACTAGTAATGACAGCGTGCGCCCTCTGCGATTGCCAAATGGCACGGAATTTGCACTGTTGCGGTCAGTTGAAATACCTGAATCTAACGAATATATTATGCCTGGCCTTTCACCCCCGCCAACTCCTCCCCCCCTTTATCTCCAAGTTGACATTCTCTCCCATCCTGGATCCTACTTATTCTTCATTCCATAGTCTTTTTCTGGATCGCTAGCATTTGCGTCGACCCCCTTGGTCCCGCTGTCAGCCCACGATCCGGATCCGTCTGACACTCCTTCACGTTATCTGACCTCCGATCCTCTATTCTTGCCACGTTCTCGGGCGTTGGCCGCGGTTGAACCAGCCGACGGTTACAGTCGCTTACCGGTTCCAGCCCCGTCACTCCCTCGACAGCAGCGTGCCGGCGTCGCGCCATGGCGAATAATACGATCGCAAGAATGGAAGTCATAAATGAGTGAGCTCCCCGTTTCGATCCTGCCTTCCCTTCCTCGAGCCCCGCTCCGTCCCCGACATCCCTTCCTCCCTCCCCTCCCCCTCTTCCGGCGTCTCTGCGACGCCTACCTTGCTGACCGGCCCCCTCCTCCTCCTCCCTTGCGCGCCCGGCGGCGACGTTGCCGCCACTGTCCATTCGCTGCAGTTCGACGACCACCCTGTTCTCTCGTCTGGACATGGACCATGACGGCAACTCGACGCTCGTGGCCAGCCCGACCCGGCTTCGAGGTGAGGTCCCCGACCTTCCGCCTCTCCTCGGACACCACGAGGGCGACATCCAGCCCGTGCCTGCCGGGCAACGCGGGCTCACGTTCTATATGGTCTTCATCTCCACGCTCCTCGTGGACATGCTGTCCGCCATTGACCTGGTGCGTCGCCCCTTCGTTCCATCGCGACGCGTCAAGCTCTCAGCTATGCTTACCGTTTCGTGGCACGTAGACCGCCGTCTCGACCGCGCTCCCGACGGTCGTCGAAAGGCTTCACGGCGCGGACTTCATCTGGGCCGGGGGCGCCTACACGATCGCGTCCACCGCGGTGCTCCCCCTGGTCGGGGGCCTCGTCGAGGGCTTCGGGCGCAAGAGCGTCCTGCTCGCGTTCGTCTTCGTCTTCTGCGTTGGCTCCGTCCTGTGCGGGGTGGCGGTCAGCATGCGGATGCTGATCATTGGCCGAGGTGAGCGTCCTTTCGATACAGCTGTCCGCTCGGATCAGCGCGCGCTCGTCGCCACGTTCACCAACGGCGGCGAGGAAAGTGAATTTGGGTTTGACGCGTCCTATATTTAAACTGCGGGGTGCAGCCGCGCCCGCTTCTGCCCGTCGATCGACGCCACGAGGTCTGAGATCTGCCCGATATATCCTAACGCGTTCTCGGTCCTTGCGCTTGGTGAAGGCATGCCCGCTGAGTCTGCGCAGTCCGGTGATCGTTTTGTTACATTGAGGCGTACATGGCGAGCGCGATGCGGACCTCAAGGTTGTCTTGCATCGCGCCCTCATGTCACTGCGCCGCTGAAACTAGTCGCCTGTCCAGTGCTCTGGCTGCTGTTTATCGCTCCCAGCCCCGCTGTCTCCGTGCAACCCTGTTAGATTTGTGTTGATCTGTCGCACTCTGTCGCGCGCGAGCGCTTCTGTCAAGATTAAGACGAGGCAGTATCGCCGTTCGGCGGGTCTGGTTCATGTCACTGCGAGTCGCGCGCCCGATAATTATTCCCGGCGCTCGCTGCGTACGGCTTCCGCAGACATAACCACCGGTCATTTGCCCATGCCTGCGCACATATGACGCTGAAAAGTCTCTCACGGACGTCCTCTGACTCCGTGGACCGACAAAGTTATGCGAGCGCCACAGCAGAAGCTGTCTGTCCATTTGGCCGCCGTCAAAGCACTGGACAGTGTATGCGTGGGACGTTCAAGGCACGCCTTCCGCCCGGTTAGGAACCTAGAACACCCATCATGATACCCGAACAGCTGCATTTCCTGAGTTGTACGCAGCAGTGCGCTGATGAGTCGGACAGCTATTCAGGGCCTAGGCAGCGGGGGCAGTATGTCTGTCACGGATATCATATTTGCGGACATGGTGCCTCTACCAGAACGAGGCAAGTTTCAGGGTATTGCAGCAGCGTACGTCCTTCTCCCGAGCTCTAGACAAACTCGTTGCTGATATCCCAATCGTCCACAGAGTCTGGGCACTAGCTTGGTGCGCACGCTCGTCAGCGCAGCCTACGAACTTATGCAGCTCACGACTGTCACCACAGTGCCGTTGGGCCTCCCATCGGCGGCGCCCTCGCCAGCTCGGGCAAGTGGCGCTGGCTGTTCTTCCTCAACCTGCCTCTGTGCGCTGTTGCGACAATCTTTATATGTTTCTTCCTCCACTCTCACGTACCGACTACGAGCTTCAAGTCTAAATTATCATCAATGGATTGGACGTGAGTGTCACTTCTCCCACTGTCCCGGCTTGCTGCGGAAGAGCTCACGCAGTCCTTCTGCGCTCGCAGTGGTAATACTATAATTATAGTCAGCACCGTGCTGGTGCTTCTTGCGCTCACATGGGGCGGGCAGCGTTTCCAGTGGGTATCTCCCCAGGTGCTGGTTCCGCTAATTGTGGGAGCGATTGGGATTGTGTTATTCTTTGTGGCGGAGAGACTATGGCTTAAGGGCCCCACAGTAAGTTATCCCCTGTATGCCAGCGGATGCCAGCTAACCCTCCTCCAGATACCGGAGTTCTTTTTCACTAGCAGGACAGTCCTCAGCGGCTACCTTGGCACCTTCTTCCATGGGGTCGTCTCTCTCACCGTCGTCTACTATCTGCCCGTATACATTCAAGCCTCGAAAGATGCATCTGCGCTGCACTCAGGTATCGACATGCTGGGCCTGTCGTTCACCATCCCCGCGTTCGCGATCTTCACCGGTATCTCCGTCGAGATCTTCAACAAATACCGGCCACAGAACTACGTCGGCTGGGTGTTCACCATCGTCGGCTTCGGCCTGCTCACCATGCTCGACCCGACGAGCGACGCGAAGATGTTCATCGGCTTCCAGATCCCACTCGGCGTCGGGCTCGGCATCCTCTGGATCTCGACCCAATTCCCCATCCTCGCGCCCCTGCCGTACTCGAACAGCGCGTACGCGCTCGCCTTCTGGATCTTCGTGCGCAACTTCGCGCAGAGCTGGGGCATCGTCGTCGGCGGCGCGATCCTCCAGAACGTCCTCTCCGCGCGCCTCCCGCGCGCGTACACGCGCACGCTCCCGCGCGGCCAGGAGTTCGCGTACTCAATCATCCCGCAGATCCACCGGCTGCAGCAGCCGCTGCAGGGCGAGGTGCGCGTCGCGTTCGCGGACGGGACGCGGCTCATCTGGTGGGTCATGCTGAGCATGTCGGTCGCGGGGCTCCTGACGTGCCTGCTCATGCGCGAGGAGGAGATCAAGACAAGCATGGACGACACGTGGGCGCTGCAGGAGAAGGCTAAGGCCAAGGCGGGCAAGGGGGACCCCGAACACGAGAAGCTTCACGTGGACGTCTGAGTCTGATGCAGATCGTGGTGGGGGGTCCGGCGCGAGTACATCTAACAGAGCTGATGCTGACTGCTTGTTGACACGACTACTACTCTTTGTCTGGGTTTGGCTTGGGGGGGGGTATATCTAAGCTGGGGACTAGTGTCGCTACGTATTGCTCTCGATTACTCACCACCACACACTCATCGTTTCGTACGGATGTACGGAACACATTGTATACTAGCCAAGGTATTCTATGCTACTTGATTTAATCGAGCCTATTGTTGTGGTCGTTGGGACAGTGCCTACTTAGGTGTACCGCACGAAATGGTGAGAACGGGTATTGCCGGGCGGTACATATGTTCAGGCGCCTATCGCTGCTTGCGCGTGCAATGTGTGTGGCCGATCGTCGAGGCTCAGCCGCTCAATGATGTCGTTCACGACTTTCGATTACTGTCCACTCGCTTCAGGGTTGCAGCTTCACAACGGGGCACAGATTCACCGCTCATAAGCATGACAGGCTAAAGCGCAAAGCGAAGCGAGGGTCTCCACGAACGCTTTGGCCGACTACGGCTAATCCACCGTGCCCATAAAACAGGCCGAGAGATGGGAGACCACCTCGCTTCTCAATCCTCTGCGCCGTAACACTCTATGTCCTCTCCTGGCTCTTTCCGCACCTCACACTACTGTCTCGCCAGATATGTCATCTCCCAACAAACTCATTCGCTTGCTCAAGAAGAACTCACATAGAGTCACCAATTCCGGGAGCGCGCCTCATCGTGCACTCAGCGACCACGACGTCCTATGCGTGCTATTCGAAAACAATTGTGTTCAGAACCAGGGGATTTTGACGAGTGCAGACCTCAGGAATTGCGCCCTCGTCTGTCGTGCCTTCTCCGAGCCCGTGCTTCGTGCGATGTGGCAGACGATGCCATCGCCAGCAGCCCTGTGGTGGCTTCTGGTGCCGGAAGACAAGCAGACTACTCCGTGGATCCCAACCAAAGATCTCTGTGAGAAGGCAAGCGACCTCGTTCGACGCCCCGCGCTGGACTGGTAGCTTACAACCCTGTTTCCTCCACACAGGTTCTGAACGCAGAGCAGTGGCACGTACCTGGACGCTGGTCTCGATTCCTGTGGTACGCAAGATTCGTTCGTAAGCTTCAAATCCCAGACTATGATCTCGAGGCGCCCAACCACGCTCGGCTTCTCCGTACTGTGCTGGATGACAATCACGGACACTCGGTCTTTCCCTCACTCCAAGTCTTGTGGTACTCGCCCACCGCGTACACGGACACTTCCTTCTACTCGCTCCTCACGCCGCGACTTCGAAAGCTACGTCTCAGTTACTCTCGTGCGCTTGACACGACACTCCCGTTGCGCCTGCCTCGCAACCCCGACTTCGAGGGCACCGTCAGCGAAATACGACGCCTGGCACCAGGCTTAAAGCACCTACGAATCGAGCCTTATTGCATGTCTTTCAAGCCAAGACTCATTCGACAGATTGCTACATTCGAGCACCTCCGTGGAGTCAAGCTCATGACTAGCATTCCGTCGACGTCATTCCGCATCCTTGCTGCGATCCCGGGTCTCGAGAAGCTGCATGTGTCTCACTTTACCTGGAACGAGGCATCCGATCCTTGCCGAACTATCTATACGCCGAACTTGGTCTCAATTCTTGTCTGCGGCGACAGCACTTCTTTGACGGAGCTGTTCAGAGTGTTACGCGCTCCGATGCTCAAACACGCTAATATCTGTATGGCAAGGGAAGATGCTCCTGCCGTAGAGCCGGACATCGTGGCATGCCTGGATACCTTCGTCCAAGCTATCTCACCGAAACAGCTTCGTTCCCTATCCCTCCACGTCGGAAGGCACGAGCCAGGTACTGGCATTCCCCTGTTCGACTTCCTCTGCCCACTCTTCGCGCTTAGCAAACTGACACGCGTCGAGCTCTTGGGGACGAACCTCCCAACCATCGTCGACGACCGTGACTTCGCGACTATCGCGCTCGCTTGGCGTGAGCTCGAAGCGTTCGCCATGCCGGCCATGTCCTGGGAACGAGGCCAAGACACCCCGACGCCGGTCGCGCTCGACTACTTCCGCCGGTACTGTCCGCATCTGCGCAGCTTGAAGCTCCCGTTCCTTGACCCTTGTGAGGAGTACATCGACTATCCCCCGCCACCCCCAGACGGCTCTTATCATGGATTACACGAACTCGTGATCGGATCTGCAGCATTCCGGGAGTGTGTGGAGGATCTCGGGATATCTGAGGTGGAGGCGTTGGCAACCTACGTTCTCAATCTCTTCCCCGAGGTGCATGCTGGCTGCAAGCCGGATTGGGATCTCCGCTCGGAGCCGACTTGGGCAAGGGTGCTCTTGCGCGCTCGTGCTCTGCGCGAGGTTAGAGACCTTAACCGTGGATACTGATCGGGAGAATCATACGGCTCTCAACAGGAGCATGTGTATCAACGCAATCCTAGGATGACACCTTGCTCAGCGTCGAGATTAGCACGGACATTTTTGAGTTTCGTGCACTTCGCAACATATTGAAGATCGTGAGAACATTTACGATTTCACGCAACTGGCTACGTAGCAGGCCGCGTAACCACGTATTCACCCAGTCAATTGATGGCGAAGCTCGCCAAGCTCTATGTGTATGCAGCCACGCAGTCGTGTAACTGCGCGTCTATTGTAAGTTGTAACTGCTTCGGCAGGAGTTCGGTGAAGGGTAAGGCTCAAGTCTATATATTCTGGAAAGGCCTGAGTAGACTCGTTTTGCACGCATCAATAACTAGATAGACAGTAGAGAGAATTTGGATCATACTCGATCTACATTGCGCAAGGATAAGACTTTGTTGTAGGGGCCACTGAGAACTTAGCGTAGGATACTTAGCATCGCTTACCCGACTCCGCGATTACACGACAGCACACTCGCGTTGTAACTGCAACAGCGAACGCGCGACTGCATGCATGCGTGGCTATGTAGCTAGTTGCGTGGGATTGTAAACTCTCTGGTCAACTCTACTGAACTTCGAACGCAATTGGATAGCGGCTAGTTTTCTCGAGGATCTGTGGGTCTCTGCTCGCCCTTCGTTGCGCTTTACGAGAGGTAAAGATACGATATTGATACAGATTGGAGGCTAATACGCCCGTTCTATCCCGCAATAGTTCACACCGAAGCATACGACGCGAACAGTTCATGTAGCTCCGTCGTCCGTCTGAGGCTCCGGTTCAGTAGGCGGACGCTCGCCCCACCCCTCCACCTTGACACCCATCATCTCCGGCAGCTTCTCGAAGATCTTCCTATGCTCCTCCTTCTGTCTCCCATGCTTCCCCAGCATCCTGTAGCAGCTCATACACAACTCTCGCTCCCGATCCGCCATGTCGATGTACCCCGTCCAAGTGAAGTCCCACCGCAGGTTGCATATCGCGTCGGTGTGCTCCTCCAGCCTGACCAGCAGCTCCGGCAAAAACACATGACAACGGTCTGGGCGCGTGCATTCGGGGGAAACAGCCTGATGAAGGATCCCGAGCGTAGCTTTTGCGTTCGCTTCTAGAATTCTCGCCCTCCCAAGGAAGCACCGCCCTAGATCCTCGCGCGAGCATCAGCAAAAGTGTAAAAATATCCTACAGGATTGTGGACATTGCCTGAAGCGCCAGTTGTGGCACGGTCTTGCAATACCGGAAATGTATTCCGAGAGCGCGCAATACCGGCAATACCTCGCAATACCTGCGATAATGCGAAATATTGCCCGGTATTGCCAATATTGCCTGGTCTTGTGGGATATTGCAAGGTCTTGCAATATATTTACGACATTGCAAGACCACCCATGACAGCGCATGACCTGACGTATATTGCGCGCTCTCGCTGAGTATTGCCTGAACGGGCAATACGGCAAAAGACTTTTACACTTTTGCTGATGAGAGCATTTCAGGTGTGCCGTCCTCGCGCATGAACCCGTCGACTATCTCGGCGCCTAGGAGACAGCACGCCATTAGTGCCCCGGGGAGGATGACGTCCGTGTGTGTGAGTCGTGCGAGGTTGACAACGCCGATCGCATGGATCTTCTCGAAAACGGGTGGACTGAATACGTGCTCGTCATCTCGCCACATATCGAAGTCGTCATGGTAGAAGCGCTTCAGGTAAGCTACGCAGCGCTGGATGATCGCCTCGCACTCGTATTTGTCCCCCAGGCGGACCAGGGCGGAGATCTCGTGGAAGGTTGGATCCAGCCCGCCGAAGCTGCAGATCCGCGAGGCGATGTCAAAGGGCGCGGATGCATAGTATCGGGAGCTGCATGACGTACCACACGCTCTTCCCGACGAAGACTCGGAGGAAGTGTCGCAGGTCCTCTACTGAGTCCGTAAGATGCAAGGTGATGTAAGAAGTACTGGCGCTCTCGACAGGGATGCCATGTGGAGTGGCAGGCTGTGGCAGGCCAATCATGTCCCTGAAGATGTTCGATTGATCGACGATGGGTCCTTGGAAGACGCGGAACTCAATACCTTGAGCTATCAGCACCAGGTCACCGCGGGCGTACCATAGCTCCTTATCTCGTTCTGGCAGCTTGCAACTGGAGGCTATGGCTCCCTCGTATGCGGCTTCTGGTAGACTGATACTCCGCGAATCCGGTGATGAAGGTAGTGAGGATTTCGGAAAGGGCGAAGACGGCGCCATATCAGCAGCAGTGTTCTGTGTTGGCTCGGGTGGAGAGCTGGCCCTTATCTGTGCATCAGGCTCCTCCGTGTGGACAGCAAACTTCGGTGCAGTTGGAAGAGGAGCTAGCTCGAGTATATGTGGGAAGTGCCTGTTCTTAGCCAGGAACGGCGAGAAGGATTGCTGATAGAATGTATCGAGGTCATTCCTTCCGTGAATGTGCAAGCTGCATGAAAGAGACTCACGATGATTGATAACATATCGCACTCAAGAAAGCAGCGAATTGTGGTCAAAGAAACCTCAAGGAATACCCATCAAACTGCGACGGCCGTTGTACCCAGAATCGAGTACTCTACGAGTGTCAAGCATGCACCGTCTCTCTGCTTTATGCTGCTCTGCTGACTGAACGTTGATGAGTCTCCTGGGCTCATATAGCAATGTCCGCACGCCACTTACTGGACGGAGAGTCAGAGGCAACGAACTGACCGCGGGTGATAAACGAGTCGTGGGTCGTGCTGGCACACAGAAGCAAAGCAAACCGTTCAAATCAGTAGCAGGTCGATTCGGATCAGATCATCTGGCTACTGGGCGCTTGACATCGCCGTGCAAAGCGACACTGTATGAACTTCAGCATTGTTAAGACCGCGGTCATGACCTAAGCCATGACCGATTTCACACAGTGACCGGTCATCGGTTGACTTGACCCGTAACAACCGTTACTGGTACTATGAGCTACGTCTACGTCCTTCTACCGGTTTCATCAGAGCATTGAACTCGCAGACTCTCCACGAAATATACGACCACTACAAATGTGTGCCCTCCTGAAGCAGGTTGATACTCCTACAAATTGAACAGCGACTCAAGTCAAATCAAACCTGCAGCGCGTTGAACGCACAAACGACAAAAAACACGGTAACGTCCATGGACCGCTCGTATAGGGCCGATAGCCTCGATGACAACAACAGCGTCTGCAATCTGCGGCCCACCAGGGCGGTGCGCGATCAGGGGGTAGTGGGCTTCCCTCCCCATCCCTCGACCTTCACGCCCATCAACTCGGGCAGCTTTGCGAAGATCTTGCGTTGCTCCTCCAGCATCCGAGGGAAGCATTTCGGGCATAGCTCCCTCTCCTCTCCGGCTAGGCCAGCGTCATCTCCGAGATACGCTCGTCTACAACCGATCGACGACAGGTCCCAACGGAGGCAGCGCAGCTCGCTCACGAGCTGGCCGTCAGCGTTGTTCGAGTCGAGCAGCTCATTGACAAAGCGCTGCAGCGTGGCCTTGCAGCGTTGGGGGCGTTTGCATTCGTCCTGCACCATGTGGGTGCGAAGCTTGTCCGTGGCGAGGATGCTCGCTTCGAGTAGTCTCGTCCTGCCTACGAAGCACCGCCCGAGGTCCTCTGACGAGAGCGTCACCTGTGCGCCGTCCTCGCGTATATAGCCTTCGACGATCTCTGCGCCGAGCGTGCAGCATCGCATCAGCGCGATCGGAAGTAGCTCTGCTCCGTCCACTCCTAACAGGCGTGCCAACTTGACCACGCCGATCGCGTGAATGGGCTGAAACAAAGGAGGGTCAATGCTAGGCAGCTGGACCCAGGCTTCCAATCGTGTGACATACAACTTCTTGAGGTAGTCCAAGCTGCGCTTGAGTAGCTTCTCCGTCTTGTACTGGTGCCCGAAGCGGATATGCGCGGAGACTTCTTCGAAGGAGGGTTCGACGCTGTCCAGATGGAACCAAGGTTAGATCCTTTCAAGGTATGAACATGTAGAGCGGAACGATATCGTACCAAGTAGTACCGCCATATAAGAACTTGAGGACATGTCTGACATCCTCGGGAGATGTTTCTGACAAATGTATAACCCTGGGACCCGAGTACCCACGCGCCCTTGCTTCCTCCCACAATTCTCTGAGGATGAGGGATTGCTCGACCAAGGGTTGCTGATACACACGGAACTGGACTCCCTCGGCGAGAAGCTCGACATTGCCATCCTCGTACCAGTGCTCCCCGTCGCGGAGATAGGTAACCTCCTCCGGGCTATAGTGAGTATATGGCACGGGGCAGTAGTTGTACCGATTACAATCTCGACGGTGGGGTGAATCAAAGGAAGCTGCAAGATCCCTCGTTGTTACATTCGGGGAGTAGGAATGAATGCTTGGTGAACTCGTCCGAGAAGCCGGTAATATCGGGGGAGGCGAAGAACCGCGGTCCGCTGGGAGCAGTGAACATATGTAAATCTGTTGGTCTCTAGTTTCGGTGTTGATATGAGTGGACGTACGAGTAGAGCCGGGAGGCAACGTCATCGGATTGGTCGGCTGAAGAGGGGGGGATGGGGGAAAGCTGTGTAGTTCCGGAGCCCTTATCACAGGTGGAGGCCCATAGGCTGATGCCTTCTCTATATCAGGTTCTACCACGTCTCGACCTTATAAGAGACATGATCAAATCCGATCCTCGTCATAGCAAATAATGAGGACATACCATAATCAACTTCAACAGGAGTGCGATTCCGCCCGATCCGGGAGTCAGCGAAAATAGCAGCACCTGAAGACGAAGCCGATCCGTAGATACCGAGAGCAGCGTTTGGCTGCGCCGGGGGAAGGATGGTGATCACACTGGATTGGGGTGTCGTTGGAAGTGCGGGTGGGGCGGAATGCTCTACAAGAACAGGAGACGATGATTGGGAACTTTGTACAGACTGTCCCATATGCGGACGGTAGCTCGCAAGCATACTGCGTGGCATCGTGGAGTATGTATGGTGTATACCGAGGATCTCAAGAGATGACCAGCTAGGCCGACCAGAGTTCCAATGACAATAGTTCTGAAACCAACAACAGTCAGCACAGCTTCAACGCCCCGCTGCCAGAGGGGATCTCTGTAGGGTTCGTCAGAGGAGAGATCAACCTACGCAGAGCGATGAACTTGCCCTATGCGAGGTATTCAGTGGTGTACCAAGTCAGAGATATGATCGTAAGTCTGTTGAAGGGCCACCGTGGGTATAGCTCCTCGCATGCGATGCGATGGGCAGATAACAAGTCAAGTACATGTAGGCGCCGCCAGCTGTGAGAACGCCACGGTGTCACGGTCCAATTGATGCGGCCCGACCACGTGTTGGATCTGTACGTGGCGACGGCGTTCAACTGAAGTGCGTAAGTATCTATTTATTAGGGGGACACGACGATCTTGAGAGTTTACAATCCCACGCAACTGGCTACGTAGCCACGCATGCAGTCGCGCTTTCGCTTTTGCAGTCACAACGCGAGTGTGCAGTCGTGTAATCGCGGAGTCGGGTAAGCGACGCTAAGTATCCTATGCTAAGTTCTCAGTGACCCCTGCAACAAAGTCCTTTCCTTGCGCAATGTAGATCGAGTATGATCCAAATTTTCTCTACTGTCTATCTAGTTATTCTTTCTTTCTTTCTAGATCATGTTTATTGCCCTGCGAGGCCGCGCCTCATGGTAGGCATAAAGTACAGTGCTGTCTACGTGGGGAAATTCAAGTCTATGCGGTACAAATGTGAGAACGAGGCTCGAGCGAGCTAGGGGTGTGAGTAAAGGGGAGATAAAAGTGACAGACGGTTTAGGGGGATGAGCTGGATGACGACCGGGTGAGGATGGAGGGGTGGAGCGCATGTAGGCGTGGTAGGGTAGGCAGGCATCTAGCGGGGAGGAGGACTCAGGACATGTGCGTTGCGGCCGCCCGTCCACCCCCGGCCATCGAAGGCAATGGTACGGGTTATAAACCTGCCGCCCTGTGGGACCATTGCGCCCCTGGGCTATGCCTCTTGCCGCGGTCAGGAGTACGTCCGGCGGTATCCCCGCCGAGTAGCCTACAACGAGGTATGCAAACCTCTGGGATATCGGGCCAGGGAGGTATCAGACCTCCCAATCCCGCAAGTGATTGGCTGTTCGCCTGGGACATCAGTATGGGCGCATCGGATTTTGATGGCTAGAACAGTGCCACAGACTGAGTTTGTACTTGAGCAAACTTTGAGGAGCTCGAAGAAGCGAACAGTTCCTTCTCTGAGGAGGTCGCAATTGAGGAGACAGCGTTGTCCAACTGACGGAGAGCATTGTGCAGGCGCGGCGGGCGAGGAGGGTGGGGGACGCGCGACACGGAAGACCACCGACGCTGGCGCATCAGCGCGCACTTTTTGATGATCGAAGTTCCCATTGTGGCGCTTGATGGGGGCTGCGCGAAGAGGACCCGCCATTTATACTCCCTCCCCTCCCTCGCATAAAGCCTCGTTCGCGCGATAAATACAGACGGCCTCCTTCTTAGGGGAGAGGTGTAAGCAGTGCCTAACC